TTTCTAACAGGGTTGGGTTTTATGTTCTATTAATACATGACAAATTAACATTCACTTAGTTTTGGGAAACATTAAAAAAACAAACGTTTCCAGCTAAAATCATTTACTGTATAACACAATCTAACTTGTGGTGCGTTTAAAAATCTGTAAAATTCTCTTATACGCTTTTTCGGTGTTTTAGTCGAAACCCACAGCTCCTGTTAAGGACTGAGGAATTCTAGCCTCCACATTTCTATGCCTCGTTTATGAACGTTTAGGATTTTCCACACACAAATAATGCAAACCAACGTGCACGGATAGGCGCGCGTGCACACGCACGCCCTCGTTCCTTGATGACCCAACGTCTGCTCATTTCCGAAAGCTGACGGAGATTCACCGAGCAGCGACCCCTCCGCCCCTCCTCCCTCCAGAGAGGCTCTCTCCTCCGCTCCACTCCGAGGAGGAACCCGGTGCCCCCTGGCTGATCGTTTCCAGACACGTTACCCCTAAAATGGAGGTCTGCAGATGGCACCTCTACCATTCTCCAGTTCCCGTACACGTCCGTGTGCTTCTAACGACGCTTTTGCCAGGACAAAAGTAACCGGTGCCATCTTTTTGTTGTTTATTTTCTGAGGATTTACTCGTGATACTGAGCTCCGGGTTCGGTTTAAAGCAGCCATGAGCTCCGTAGAAGGAGCCGAGGAGACGACTAAGGACCCCAGCGACTTGTCGTCGTTTTCGAGGACCGGTGAGTTCCAAAAACATAAGTGGGAGCGGTAGCGAGGAGCTCCGGTGGGACGTGCTCCTTAAAGCAGGGAGACGCGGGGGACATTGTTCCCGTCTATGTAGTCTGTTCCGAGTCTCAGACACAAGAGCACAGTGCGGACTCCAAACTCACTGACCGTACAACTCTCGTATCAAGAAGTGTGTTATAAATCTCAGTAGTTTGTTGGGGTTTTTTTTGTTTACGTCTTAAATTTAATTTCGTTGAGTATTATGCGAGTTAAATGGGATAGCGAATCCAGACTGCAACTGGGCTGGAGTTAGCTGGAATGCTATCTAAGCAAGTTCCATTTTCGGACGAATCTTTGTATGTGTGCTTACTTTTTATTGCATTCAAAAAATGATTCTATATTTTCTCTCAACTTACAAGCACTAAAGTCCGTCAACCGTTTACACTAAAATGTAGACGTTAATTGGAAGGCGTGGACGACACGTAATAAGTAAAAACACTAACTAACCATCCATAGCGTGTTCTCCGTCAGTCTCAAGCTCACTACAGCTGATGTATAGCTTCAAAATCGAATAGCATTATAGAAATACACTTGTAGAAGTACAATTATAATTAATGTTGGTCCAATTAAGGTTATAGTGTAGCCAAATCGGTTTAGAATGGCCGACAATGCACATTTGTGTTAGTTTCGGCATTAGCTTCCAATGCTAAAACAGATTTGTTTAACCCTGTCTGCTAACAGATGCTAACTGGTTGTAGCTTTCCAGTCAAGTGACAAAGCCATTTTCCCCTAAAGAACATTATGCCATTAACTATGTGTACACGTGTTTCTACTGTTATTACTGTTATAGCTAGCTTAAAATAAAAAAACACAACTGTGAAAGCTATGTAAATAAAACACGGCGTGGACAATCAGGGTGTGCACAGAGCAGGCTGAGCTAGCTGTGTGACACAGCCATCGAGGCCGTAGACGTTGCTTTTTTTTCTTTCTTTTTTTTATCACTATCCGCTAATTACGGTTAATGCAACTGTGCTGCACAGATTTTTTTTTAAGGAGAGAGGAGCTGCTGTTGCATGCACGCATACTGAGATGGAACCTTGCTGCACGGTCTGTGGAACTGCGAACATCGGCTCAGTGTGCAGCTCTTATCAGCATGGACGGTGACGTGAAGTCCCGCGGGCCTTCGGTGGTTTTTATAACAAGGGCTCATAAACAGTTGAGCTCAACACATGAAAAAAAACCCATGAGAAACCATGAAATACATTTTTTGTTTTATAAAAAATTATATGTTCTTCTATTAAGGTTTACAGTTCCTGTTTGAGCTTCTTAAACTGGATAATAAATGAGGGAAGTTCAATGTAGGGTTGCCAAATGTGTGTTAAAATAGCATGTAAATAACAACTGGATTATCCAATAAGCATATTTGCCAATTCACCAAGGGTGCCACCAAAGTATAGGTCATATTATTTTTTTTCACATTGTTGGGGAAAATGTGTGTTAAACAGAATTATTTATTTCATTTTTAATATTTAAAACAATCACGCTGCTAAATGCTAAATGCCTCCGCTAGGAAGGGAAGGAGGAGCCACATGCTCCGTGTTTACAAACACCGACACAAAATTCCTGTATGTGATACCTTTATCCAAATCACTGGTTGTTTTATTGCGCTGCGGTGTGTAGAATACTGCTGGCGGACGTGATAGTTTGAGGGGTGTAAACGGGGACAAGAATGCAGAATACTCACATTCAGCCTCTGGCTCCTGTGGTTTTAGTGTCTAGTGAGATAATAAGCCACAAAGGGAAGTGGAGTATTCGCACTGGGCTCATCTGATAGTTTCCTCTTAGGGAGAGCAGCGAGAGATATCCTGTAACTCACTTTCAACCACACATTGTGTGTTTTGTTTATGCTGCACAGCTGCCACTACTCTGCATAGTCTATATTGCCAATTGGATCTGTAGCTAACTTGTGCAAAAAAATTTTTTTTTTTTTTTGCACAATAGGGGTTTGTTTGCTGTCAAAATGGTAAAATTGCACAAAAAACCCTCCTTTATTTTGATAGAAATTGTTTCACAGATCGATTTAAAATTTTTTCCAGTGTGATTTTTTTTTTTGCAGGTAAGGAAATACAAATTTCTTATTAAACCGTCTTTATGCTTTGAAACCCTACTTAACAAGGGAGCGCCTTAAATTTTTTATGTGTCACGTGAACGGTTACTTGTCTCTGTATGTGGCCCTGCGATGGACTGTCAAACTCCCCAGGGTGCACCCCACCCTTGCCTGTTGACAGCTCGGATTGGCTGCATCAATGAATGGACCGACGGACGGACGGATGGATGGATGTGCAGTGAAATCAGCTGCGTCATGCCTGACTGCAGAAGCAAAGCTAAACATAACATACTATAGAATTAGAATATAAAATATGAGATCACAGATTTGAATATATAGCAACCGGAATGAATAGCAGCAATATACAGAATGCAGTGCAGTTCTAAGGCTTTGGCGTGAATGGTGGGATTTGCATGTGTGAAATGGTCTGTAAAATCTGTGCGTGGGGGTGAGTGATACAGTATGTGGGGGTTTGGAGGTTTAATGTTCTGATGACCTGAGGGGGGAGAAGCTCTTTCTCAGTCTGATCTGGTCAGTAGAATGAACTCTTCAGAGATTTTCCTCATTTCCTTCAGTGATAATTCCCTATTACAAATATTGTAAATAAATTAAGTCGATGTAGTTGATATCTCAACTTACTCTAGTGTAGTAATCCCCAACATTTTTGGCCACAAAATTAGTACACAAAGTGACATTTTATGTTCCTTGATCACATTTCAGGCGACCCCACATGGGGTCATGACCTCAAGGTTGACCCTGCTCTAAAGCAACAACCCCAACCTAAACTTGACTTGCTGTAGTTTATTCATTGATTTGAGGTTAGTTATAACAGTGTACTCTTTCATTTCACAGAAACAATTTGGTGCAAGTGGGGAAAAAAAAAATTGAGGTTTCTTCCACAGTGTTGCTCGTTACTCAGACTCGGGTGTGATGTGAAGTGTGTCACGCTGTTTTGTCAGGTGGTGTTTGTTCACTAGATGCCACTATGTTGTTTAACACCCCACTGTCAGTAGTGTGAAGACGTCACTAAGTTCAACGGGGTGGTGAGTGACACCTACTGAAAGAGACGCTGAACCATACGAGAAAAGGCCTAAAGATAGATACTCTCTGGAAAAGAAAAAAAAAAAAATCACAGGGTTTTACATTGACATTTTGTTGTTGCAGTGTTTGTTATCTTGATCTATCAAGCCAATCTGCCAGAGTTGTTTGTATTGGGGACTTTTTCTCACTGAATGTAGCATCCTGGTTGTGGGGTTTTAGCCTTTTTACCTTCAGTTTTGCCCTCCTTTCTGTTTTTCTCGCGAACTTCCTCTTCAGAGATTGGGGCGTCTTGTTCTGACATGCACAGGTTTAAGTGTCTCGCCATAGGCCATGCTTTTCTCCCTCTCCATCCCCACCTCCATCTCTTTTTCCATCCTTCGGCGTCACCCTCTTTGTCTTTCCCACGTCTTCCCCTTTGCTTTCTTCACCTCCTACTGTCAGTAAAAATTTTTTTTTTTTTTTTTTTTTCACCTTTTGGACCTGGCTCTACCTCGGTGATGCAACTAACAAACATTCGGTCGCCAGGATTTTTGGTAATCAGGCTAGGCAAGTGTTGACTTTATCTCGCTTTTATTTGTCTGTGACAAACAAGCACGTATGAACCGATGCTCGGAGATTGTCTGCGTGCGTGTCTCTGTGAGAAACGGACCTGCAGGAAACTGCAAGAAATCTGATCTCGGGCTTACATTTATGACTCAGGTCTATACAGCCAGGATGAGGTCTGAACACACACACATGCACCCATTCATGTACACACACACACATACAAAAAAAAACACATGCAGTGCTACTAATGGATATTGATCCAGGAGATGGATACTGATTGAGGTCTGCAGTAATGGTTTCCTCAAGGCCTAAAAGCTGCCAAGTCAGATGTAGCGCAGAAGCTAGCAGAAGCTTTTTGCTACACGGTGCAGATTAGTATTATTTGTTTATGTATTGTTCTTTGGATTATTCTGTGTTCACAAGGCAGGTAACCGAGCGATTGGGGACCTCAGTATTAATAGGAATATTAATTTACCCATGTTTGTATAGAAACTAAATTGTTGCAGTAGTAGCCCACAAATGCTAA